CAGAGAAATATCCCTATAAAAAATTCATATATGTAAATAACACATAATTTTTACACAAAAAAAATTTGCTGATGTTGGTGTTCTGCTTTTTCGTAATCAATATTAATAATAACATTAATATTAAGTATATGATTACAAGAAAATGCCAAGGCAGCATTGACTATTGAAAAAGTAACATTCGAATATGCAAATGTTTGGTTATCAGAAATTAACAGACGTTAAAGCATACATGCTATCTTGAATGTTACAGTCATTCTCGTATGTTCCTCATGTACACAAGGCTAAACCACCTGTGATCCCCAAGGATACAATGATGCAATTAAATTCCAGGGGGGCAGCATGGCCTGAGCTACATTAAGACTGCATCAATCGTCAGGGACACTTTTAATAATCTTCACAAGAGATGGCTGACAAGTTACCTGCAATGATCCTACCTCTAGATAAGGCTGGCTCTGTGACCAAGTCACAACTCTAGAGAGAATCTGCAATTCAGAGTGGGGTTTGTGGCCCTGAAATTGTATTTGGGCTCTGATGTTAAGAGGAATGCTGTAAAATAAAATGGTTTGGATTTTGTTTGGTATGTTATGTTATAAATTAATCATTGTGAAAGCATGAAAGAATCTGGAAGACCACTGGCCATATCAACATTTTCCGATCTTGATTGATCAACAACTTTATCTCCATCACTATTATTCCGATTTATTTTTCAACCCTTTAACGGCTTGTTACCTTTTTCAAACCCAGATGGAGACAGCTCGTCTCAACGAAATTCCTTTCTTCTAAAAAATAATAAATACAATATAAATTAATTAAGGCGGAATGACTCATTACCACCATTATTTTTAATAATTAATAATAATACTTGCTCTGATTTTCTCCCATTCGATTTGTTATTTTCTCGTTTTTTTTTTGAATCATTCTTTTTTTCAAGATGAGGAAATGTTTTATTTTGTGCATTTATTTATTTTTTTTTTTATTTGTTTATAAATGTATTGAAATCAAAGCCTGGAACGGAACTTATCTGTCTCTTTATGTATTTATTAAGATTCTTCTTATCAAGATAATAAACGATCAGTATCGTTTTGCTTTTCGTGATCATTAATAATATTAATAATATTTAAATATCCAATTACAAGGCAACATGGCTGTTGCGGAAGGTATATGACGTTTTGATTATCGGAAAATTTTCAACGTTGAAGCATACTACGCTACCTTAAAGACATTACGGTCATTCACAATCTTCCTTGTGTTCACAAGGCTAATCTGACACAACATGCAATTAATTTTCAGGAGGGGTATATAGCTAGTGTTGCAAGTCGACTAGAGGGTTATAAGTCGCGACTAGTCGGTTAGATTTTTTTGTAATCGCGACTCAGCTGCGACTAGATTACAGTCATGACTGGATTCCAACCGCGATTGTAGTTTAACTGTAAAAATAGCCTAGCATTAATATATCAATCAAACAGTGTGATGAATGAAATGAAGTGTCGTTCAATAGTATGTCGGACAGGCGACCTAGCACTGCACAAAAGGTACTTTAATTTGCGGTTTTTTCCGGCAGAACTCTCATTTTTCCGACAAATTTTTTTACAATAGGAAAGATTTCCGGCAAAAAAATTTTTTTTATTTGTATATATATATAAAAATAATAAATTTTTATTTATAATTAAATTTATTCATGTACTCCATATCTTTTTTTCATTGAATTCCATATAGTATATGCTCTATTGAAATCAAATTCTTTATTTGGTGGACCCTCCAAAGATACTTGCATTAACATATCTAAAGTTACTGTATTTAATGAATTTCTCATCTTATTTTTAATTATATTTTGACAAGAAACCCTCTTTCACAGTCTACAGATGAAAAAGGAATATTATATACTATTTAATCAATTTAATTAAGTTAGGAAATATATACAATCTTCATGACAGAAATTGTATGTTTAAAATTTTTATCATGAAAATTTCCTATATATAATATTCTTTATAGTTATTCTTGAAATTTCCAATTTTTCTGCCTCGCAGAATTCATATGTTCTAATTGTAATAATCCTGAGACATGTGAAATATTTGTAGAACCTATATAATTATGGAATTATTATTATATATTAAATAAATATTTATTTATATATGCATCTTATTTTTTGCACAAAGACATTTTTTCTTTTATGAGTAAGACATGTTTTACAGAACATTCACTTAGAATTAGAATCATAAGTTAACCATTTAAATTGAACTAACCAACTTGTATTAAATTTAATTCATTTTCTTCTAATATTTCAATAATTTGTGGTTCATTTGTTTGACAATCAAGATCAGAGAATTATTTAAAATATGTCTTAAACTACCAGAACTATAAGATAACATATAAATAAATATATAGTTAAATTGATTGATTGATTATTAAATATATCTGTGGTTACTTTGATTATTATTATTATCATTGTTATACGTAACTTCTGGCAATTCTTAGTAATTTCCAGAATTTTTCAAAGCTAACGGAAATCTACCGATCTTCACTACAAAGAATTTTGTGCACTGCGACCTAGCCTTGTTTTTATTTTAAATACCAATATTTATTAAAAATTTTGTTAGTGGAACAAAAATAATTTTTAAAAGATAGATTAAAGAAATTAATTAATCAATTGGATGATTATAATATATTGATAATCCAGAGCTTACTTGAAGAGGAGAGGCAGAAAATTAATATTGTAATTTGTATTGTAAAGTGTGCTCACAGATCCACCGATGCTTTCTAGATGCAAAAAAGAGGAAGCAAGCAGGGTAAAATAATAAGGCCGATCAAAAATCAACTTAATTCAACGCTACAAATTTTAAATTTTGACATTTACCGCAAAGTTCAGAAAGATAGCACCTACACTTTGAAATAAATGTTACACGGTTGTGAAAAGGGTATTAGTATGCTATCTTGCAGTGCTTTATTTATAAATTCCTTTGATACAATTGAAGTTTTTGTAAAATTTTTTTTTTTTAAAAATTACGTTTTTAATTGTGATTAAATTACCAGTGATTGACTAGAGATGCGATCCGCGGATATCCGTCATCCGTTCATCCGTCATTTATCTCAAAAAATCAATCCGTCATCCGTTAATTGCTCAAAAAATACATCCGTCGGATTCAAACGGATTATCCGGATCATCCGTGAAATTGAACGGATCATCCGGATTGTAC